TAACTTTTATTCCAAGGCACAGTGTAAACACAAGAAATAATAATCCTATTTTCATTAGCGAGCATTCTTCCTTTATTTTTATCAAAACGCATTTTCTATTTCCAGGAGTGAATCTGAGGTCCTCCAGATTCTTAAAAAAGGGTGTATCAATTATCAATCATATTAATAATCAAATAATGTCCTTCCCCTAAATAAAAATAATCAATATAAAGTTAGGACAATACTTTATATATCAGTTTAACATCATAGTAAGGGAGAGAAATGGCATTTAGACAAAAAAAACAAACTATTTTCCTACAGCTATCAACAGTACTATGAAAATCTCTATCCAATTATTCTGGCAGATTTTTTTCCCGAAACTGATTTATTGTTGGATGTCCTTCCTCTACCACAACCATTATTTGCCGGTTTCCATCCGAGTATATCAAAACATCTCTGGTGGATGCATAAGACATGAGCAACACAAAATCTTGAATTGACTTGAAGTCTTTGTACAATACTCCTTCACTAAATTTTATTTTCTTTCTTTCCATCTCCCACATTTTAATCTGCAAAAGAATAAAGGCCATTTAAATTACAATTCACTCTCGCATTCTTTTCCTCCGTATCATAGATTGCAGTTCATCCTTTCAATTCCTTTTCATCTAATATCTATATAAAGTCCAGCGACAAAATAACCAGAAAAGATAAGCATGAGGATGAAGATATTCGTTCTGTCATATCTTTTCTACATAAAAATGGTTCACATAAAGATGGTTCACATAAAATGGTTCACATAGCCAATGGTACATCATATCGGTGCTTACACGCCCAATGCAGTGCCAATATACAGTATATGTCCTTTGCTGTAATTCATCCTTCTTTTCAACCTAAGATGATAAACAAATTAGTCAAACATTTTACAGAACATTGCTTAAAAGCTCTCTGCAATTCACATTTTGAATGTTTGGCCACCTTGAAAGGATCAAGTTTTGATTTCATCTGCTAACATAACCTGTATTGTCAAAAAGTGAAACAAAGTCCAAGCAAAATCTGCACTCATATCTTGCTATCTGAAATGAAATTCACAAGAGAACATAAAGAAACACATTCTATATGCTTAATTAATTAATGGAATTGTAACGCCCTCCCCAATTACACTCATGAAAGGATTAATGTTTAAAAAGAAAATATAAATAATGATAAATAATAAAGACAATAAACATAAACATGTGTAAATATATAATTGTCTGTTGCCTATATTTTCATGTTTCTTTTTCCATAACCTTTCAAGTTGATTACTCTTTTAACCTAATTGTTTAGTCATCTAAAGAGCAAAAAAATGTTCCTTATATATTCGTTGTCATGAAACATTTGCACAACATACATGATTCACATCCTGAAATTTATACTTTGATGTCCGTCAGCTGCAAATCTAATTAAGCCTAAATGGCTACTGATTCGTAAATGTTACAGAAAAGAAAGGAAAACATGATACCAATACTACATGTTACTGGGTGGTAATCTAATTTCTTAAAGGCATTCAAGAAAGGTGAACCTTTTGGCAGGAAAGTGTTATATCCTGTCTTCCTATGCTTTTTTGTCTTGGAGGGAGAATATCTGCTGTCTTCTTCCAAAAAGATGCAGCAAATAATTACATCTAAATTACATATAATTTAATAATATGTTACACAGATGCTTCATTATTAAACAAGGATTAATATATAAACAGATGTAGATTTTTTCTTCTTCTGAGCTTACTATCAAAACAATAATTAGTGCATGAATGATATGCAAAGGGAAAGGAAAATATAATAGGCAGCATATAGTTGCATCATATATCTATCTATCAATGCTATTTTTATTTCTACTGTTACTTCTAAAAATAAAAATAATAATAATAATGCAGTGCCAATATACAGCATATGTCCTGTAAAATTCAAGGAATCACTTATCCTTTAACAGTCGCAAACTGTAAGATGTAAGCAATATCGTTGCATACATCCCTCCATGGTCGAAATGGAAGCTGTACCTTCCTGTTGCAGTCCTCCTGTATGTACATCACCAGAGGAAGCAACGATTCGCACCTGCCACACCCGAGCCTGGTTGACCTGTGATGACCTATATCTCCCTCTCGAGCAAGCCTTTTGTCTAGGCTGAAACAACCATCTCCCGGAGCCATAAAACGGCACGTTCGCCAGATGGGAGACGAGAGCAGATGGAGACATGGCAGGCGAGGGTTGCGCCATCACTGCTCTACCCTTGGCACTCGGGGCACGGGTCTCTCGTGGGGTCTCACATCTTAATAAACCAGCAAGCCAAGACCTCTTTAATTCAACTGCTCCGTGTCCTTAACCTTTTGACATCTGGTGACGCTGGCTTGTAAAACGGGTGAAGTCAAGATACCATCATGGAAAATTTTGGCTGAGGATCCAGAGTGACAGTAACTTATCATGAAAATTTCAACTGAAGGCTGGGGTAATAGGAATGGCTCACCACGAGTGCGCAAAGCTCTTGGAGGATGATTAGACTAAGTGGGCATTTTGGATTTACTTTTTTTTATTACTTCCATCAATAAACAAGTGTGGAATGTACAATCTGTCAGCCATGACCTGAGAGGACACTATTTCCATGCCCGGAATCCTAAACCTAGCCACCAGTGGTGCAGGTTTTATTACAGAAAATCAAATATTAAAAAAATAATAATAACGAAAAACAATTAACAATTATTACTTATTGTTATCATTATTGCACTGCGTTATGGACTACCTAGAGATGATATGGAGTCCAGGCAAGGAAAACAGTCTGGATAAGGCAAATAAAATGCCAAATATAGCCACTGGAAAATGGCAAAAAAACTAAAAACATTTATGGAAAAAAGAGAAAGTAACATTGCAAAGGGGAGGTATGGAGTTTCGTCACAGCACATGAGTATTCCTGTGCACTCAGTCTGCAAGACGTTCACCCGTTAGAGGCCACTCAAGTAAGCCCAATGCCCGTATTTTGGGCCGAGTGCAGGCTATAAAGCATCTGGCTCCAAGGGGTGAATATTCGATTAGGAAATTAAGAATGGGAATGTCTGTTTTACGTACTTTCTTATGCATTTCATTTTAAATATCTAAATATGAGTGAAAATGCTTCCATTGACAAGTTTTAACAACAGGGTTTATACAATTGTAACTGAATGTACTCATGTTACCAGATAAATTCCAAGCTTGATAATATTAGCATGGCCTCCAAATTATTCAGCTAACTAAAGCAAACAATGGTTATATTCTAATATTATTTGTAACAAAAATTTTAATAAATAATTCAAGGCTAAACTATGTATTTACATATTACAATAATCAAACAAGTACATGAAAAATATGTAATTTACCTATCTGTATAAAGCTGTAAAAATTGCAGAATCAAATAATAAAATACATAATGATAAAATAAAAAAAATAAAAAGATATAAATAAGGAAAAAGAAAGACAGAAAAGTGCACGCACACATACAAAGAAAAGAAGAATAAAGAAGAAAGAAAAAGAACACTTGCCTGATCTGAAATTGTACGTGGAACAACTGGATTTTGTTTGTACATCTGAGGATGACAATGCTGTGTGAGGAAACTAACAAGTTGTTCAGCGCTGATACCCTTCAACAGAGCTCTTCTCACACTTCTTCTTGACATGTAAGCAAAAACCATGTTAGGAAACCTGCAAAAACAGATATGTTACAACTTCCAGCTTGTGGTAGTGCTTTGCTTTAAATAGTTCTTACTCTGCGTGAAACTTGCATGATAACGACATGATTTGTTTGATAACTTTCTTTATACTATGAAAAAAACAACCTTTTTCATTTATCCATGTTACATTTAATCGATTTTAATTATCAAAATACTAATCTTATTTTTTCTTTGCAACAAAAAATGAAAATAACATTTACCTGCTCTTTATGATGGAAAATATGGAGTACAGTGCAATTCGTAGTTCTGAAGTAGTATAGGCATATATTCTGTGATTTGTATCAATGATAAGATTCCCCTGTTTGGGAACGCTAAGGTTGCCCTGTGGAGATGAGGAAATATTTGTAAGAGAAATCTTTCCGAGAGAATAACTACACAATTGAGCCCTTTTCATCACTAACCCAATGGCTCTGGGTAATGTCTTCTGTCGTTTTCTTTTGTGAATTTTACTTGCAAATAGATGGCTCCACAAGTGCTTAGCTACCAAGGAGCCAAGCAGCTATATGTGTTGTGTTTAAAGAAATGTGTTGATTTTCTAATGCTAACAGTATCAAAAGTTGGTAATATTATTGTTGGCATTGTGATTATCATTATGTTGTGAACAATACTAACAGCATTAAATGATTAAAAAAGAATCTTTCTGCAAATTGAGGGAAAAGGTAGGTAAGACTAGTATTTGACTCGTAGGTTATCAACTTGTGGAGCCATCTATATTTCGAGCCAATCAATAAAACAAATGAACAGTAGACATGGTATGCATTCTTGTCATCCTATGAACATCAACAACTTGAATACACTAATCTTTATGTACACTCCAAACACACATTGCATTTTAATTTTTGTTCTATAAATAATTTATTTACATATAAATGGCACCAAAATCATTTTGTCATCAATAGTATTAGAACTTATCTATTAACCATATTCCATGAATTTGCCAGAACGAGTTTATTTCTAGTACTATTTATCTTTGAATAATAATGAAAACAACATAAACACATTGATATCAATGATAATAGTCATAAAAGTAAAAAAAAAAAAAAAAAAAAAAAAATCTGAAATTTCTAAAAGTGGGATAAACATGCTGGGTTAATAATCACCTTCTTGGTGACCAAATGCTTGTGAACCCATTACTGTGTATACTAAATCAATAAAACAAAACAACAGTGGATGGTGCATGTACCCGGCACCATAAGTTAACTTCTGAACACAGAAATATCCATAAATCAATATCACAGCCTCTGCTATATAAATTCAGTGTGTATATCCAAAGCTTGGCCAACACTGCAAGTTTTGGGCTAATTTGACACTGAGTCTGGCAAAGCCATCATCTAGGTCATCAGGACCTGGGCTAATTATATGATTAAATTTCACCCAATAACATCGCCATGTATTTCTGAGACCGTCCAGCCTATAAATCGTTAATACATTTTGTTAACCCACTAGGTCCAGATGATTTGACCATTAAGTCATGAGAAAATTCAGCTATGGACATGAATGTCATTCTGAAGGCTGAGGAATGGGGTGATTGGAAAAACTTATCACAAGTGCACAAAGTTCTTGAAGAAAGAAAAGACTAAGGGGTATTTAGGATGGAGCTCTTGCATTGATTCTATCAGCGAACAAGGCTGGAATATACCACCTGTGAGTCGTCAGTGGAAGAACGCCTGCTCTTGGGAGGATACCTTGCTCAGGATACCAGTCCTGCCCACCGTGACTGGCAGCACAGTTTGTTACAGGAAATCTAATATGAAGACATACAAAAAATAATACAAACAACATGATGTCACATTGATTTTGGTACTACACAGAGATGTTAACTGCCTACAGAGATGATATGGAGTCTGCTCAAGGAAAACAGTCTATTACTAAATTGACTGAACATAACAATGGACAAGTATAGACCTTGGGAAAACAACGTTTATGCAGAAATAGTTAATAATATTGCCAAGGGGAGGCAAGAAGATACTGCACTAGAATGTTCCTGTGGGCCATGCCAACAAGCCACACACCCACGAGAGTCACTACTAAAGTAAGCCTAACACTCAGATTTTAGTCCCCATACAGGTCATGATGCACCCAGATCTAACTTAAGCTCAGCCTTGCTATCATCATTGGGGGGATAGTGCTGACTGGGGCGCATAGCTGCATCCACCCTTCATTTATACCTGCAAGGATCTCTCATGGGAAGCCGCCAGGCAGGGACTCGGCCTATCTTAAGTTGTCCCACAGGCCTCCTCCACCCAGGACTGTTTCATATAGAGACAAACTGGTCCGCACGATCATCCTATGGGAAGCGAGCCAGGTGGCCGTATAGCCTGAACAGATTGTGCAGGTAACAGGTCCTGTACCAGTCTCGCAGTGCAACTGTAGGCTGGACATGTGGTTCCACCAACAGTACCACATCATCTGGCACAAGAACCTATTACAAAAGGCATCAAGGCAAGACTCCAAGGTGCAAGATAACGTCTAGGTTTCACTACCATATAGTGTAACTTGCATTATCAGGGCCTTGAAGACGTGTAGGTTGGACCTTCTGCACGGGTACTGGCATCTCCAAATACTCTTGTTGAGAGAGTTCATGACCCCTGCTGCCAGGCCAATCCATTGTTGACTTCCTCAACTGACAGCCAAGAGTTATGAACTACACTATCAAGGCACGTAAAGTGCTCTGTGATTCAAGGTCCTCACCACAAGCACCGAAAAGGTTCTAGCAAGTCCCTAGTCATGGATCTTGGTCTTGGTCTAGGGTTTCATTGCTAAATGCATCTAGAACCACGACTAAGGTTTCCAAAGATTCAGATAGAATGGCATCATCAGCAAAGTCAAGGTCAGTAACCTTGATACTGCCCAGAGTTGCTCCACATTGGCTTTGGACTGGAGCTCTGTCTAGTATCCAGTTCAAACAAGTGTTAAAAAGTGTTGGTGCTAGGACACAGCCTTGCCTCACTCTTGAATTAACAGGAAGAAGCTTGACAGGCCCCCACCACACTATACATTTTCAATATCGGTGTACAAGCTTGCTATTAATCCAATAATCCTTATTTGAATTCCTCTCAATCTCAGCACTGTTTGGAACACCTTGAGGTCGATATAGGCTGTAAGCAGCCCATGCCCGAACTCAGCAGCACTGTACAATAACTCAAAGCACCAGGATACGGTCTATAATGGACTTACCAGGAGTGATTCTAGATTGGTGGTCTCTTGATACACTCTAACAGGATATTGGCGAGAACCTTGACTGGTATACTGCCTCGGTGAATGCTGCAGTCCCATTAGTCCAGAGAGTGAATACCACACCCCTCAGTACGTCAGGGGGAATGGTACTGGACTGCATTAGGACAGCATGCAACTCTCATGCCATAGGTTCACCACTAGCATTTAACAGTTCAGCTGGGATGCTGCATATACCTGCTGCTTTACCACTCAGCTTGGAGATCCCCCCTTAATTTAAGTTAGGGAGAGTGGATCCTCACCGATGGGTGGGTCTGGCAACAGAATTTTTGCATTACCGCATCCAACTTAACTGCTGGTGGATCAACCTGGCACAACTGCTCAAAATACTCAACCCAATGCTGCCACACCACAACGGGATCTGAGATGAAGTGGACCCTTACCACGGAACTCGGTACTCCCATACACCATGCAGTTCTGAAGGATCTTCCAACAATTGCTAAAAAAGATGTGGTCAATCTCTGCATTACCTGTATCACTGGTACCAGGAGCCAGAAATCCTCAATTTCTGGGACCTTGCAAAATCCCGGAAAAGTAGGTTATTCTCGCTGCTGGCATCAGCTCCCAAACCATGGGGACCAACAGAAATCTCATGGCCAGCTTGATCACAGCCAGACACTACATTAAAGTCACCCAGAACAATATGAATATCTCGCTGAGGAAACCTGTCCAACACACATACAAGATTGGTATAGAACATTTTCAAGTCGAGTACAAACATCAGTAGGAGCATATACAGCAATAAGAGACATGAAGCCAAATGCTAGCATCAGTTTCAATACCATTTTGTGTTCATTGTCCAGAGTAACCTCTACTACCTAGGGCTGGAGTCTGCAAGAAATGGCTATGGCTACTCCCTGAAGATGGTGACCATTGCTGCGGCCTGACCAGTAATATGTGTAGCCACCTATACTAATCATGCCACTGCCAGGTCTTCTCACCTCAGAGAGAACAGGCACCTCAACTTTCAGCCTCCCAGTTCTCTCGACAGTAGTGGTTACTGAACATCCAAACACAAAAAACGTTGCAAGCCCCCACCCTAACGTTCCGCATGAGGATTAGACTCCGGCAGTCACTCTGAGTGGACACCACCTCTGTCACTACCAATGAGCTACCCCATATAAAAGGGGTGGAGTGCTGCGGGACCTAACATCCACCTGTAGCGCTCCCATGGGCTTTGCCTCATAAGCTTCACTCTGGGTAGGCGGCTGCCGGAGTGCAGGTGGGACGATTAGCTCCCGTTCCCAACCTACATCTCAGCAGTCGCCCTCCCAACAGGGCCCACAACCTGCTTCAGTTGCTGGGTGGGAGGGGCATTTCCCCTTCCCCCCATTAACCCCAGGGGCCTTAGGGGCAGGAGTTGGTACAAAGCCAGGGCGTGTCCACATGATGATGGGCCATGACCCTGTACCTCTGGGGCTTCTTGCTGGGACTGCAAGGTGCCGAGTTTCCTTGGGTGGCCAAGAGGAGGCCCTGCAGATCATATGCTTATGCAGAGCTGCTCCCTCTTTTGCACAAGGCTAGCCAGCGGTGGCAGCTGTAAGCGAGAAGGCATGCAAGCACTTAACATTACTTAGGCTACCACACCATCACTTCACATCACCCTGAGCTTGAAGAATGCTGGATATCCACATTAATAGTTTTCAAACAGCTCAAAACCCTTAAATAGTTGAACTGAAACAATGAGGAACATATTGAGCACAGGCAATCATCCACATCTTACCTTATTTTGACCTGCTGTTATAGTACGAGCTAATTTCGTAGGGTAAAATCTGCCAGAACGTCTTCTTCGTACATATACAAGTCCAAATTTCCTTAAGTGTTGTAGAAAAGTTAGGAGCTCATTGTTCATCCCTGCCATACTGTAATCCTGCATTAGGAGAAAATAAAAGTCTTATGACGCAGGCACAATGGAAAATATATTCAAAAACCTTTCTTCACATACACGGATGGCATCAATGTTAAGTGTTAAAAAAGAAGGAAAGAAAAAATAGAGGTATTATATACACAATATAACTATTATTCCCCCTTTTCATTTAGTTTTATGTCTAACTGAACAAAGCAAAGTACTTAGGATACAAGTTAACAGTTACCATGAAGCTCATAACCATTGTCATACGGAAAATAATTTTTAAAAATTGAAATTCAAAATACGCATTGAATAAAAGAGTAAAATAAAAGCAAAAAGAACACCCAAACAGAATTCCGAAATAATGATTATAATAACAAAATTAAATAACCACACTTCACAAATACCACTCCAACTGTAGAAAAGGAAAGCTTGAAAAGGAAAGTCAAACAAGCAACAAGGTTGAGTCCATGCTCTGTGACTGTCTCTAGGTACTTGAGGATGAAAAACCACACTTGCGAGGCCGTGTCCAGCAGGAGGAACTGGAAGCCGGAGTTCGTGATCTGCATTATGGATGAATCTGACTCATCGCTGCTGTGAAGAAAAAGTAACTTGGTAATGGATACTGGAAGCTAAGGTAAGCCTATTAGGAAAATATTTCGTGAAATTTGCAGTCCTTTGTTTCATGATGAAAAAAGGTTCTAATCGTTTTTTTTCTGCAATCCTGATCCAACAGGATACCATGTCTACTTTCTGTATCACAAGCACAGAGAACTGTTAAACCTCAAAATGATTGGCCTTGAAATGAATAAAATAATAAAGGAATAAAATATGACAATATATTCCACTAAAATAACAGATATAGACTTACACAAGACAGTAAAATGCTGCCAGGAAACACAAAAGTACAAATGTATGAGCATACTGCAACGTAAATACAATAAAACAGTAATGAATTACAATAATGACCATAAAAATCAAAGTATAAATAAATAAATAGAATATTATCAAAGAGGTATCATACATAAAAAAAAAGTTTGCTTATGAATTGGTAGCATGGAAATCCTATACACCCACTCCTATCTTGCCTAAGTTGCCAAACATCAAATTCTACACTACTTTCCATCAGTATTTCGCCTTCCAAACACGAAGAGACACAGGAATCTAAACACCCTTACAGTTGGGTTAGATGTCACTTTCACATTAACTTACTAGGACCACTGGACTTTTAAGAGTTATAGGATTATTTTTTTATTCATGATTTGGTCTACACAATAAATAAATCTTTAAACTAAAACTTAAAATAGTTACTGAAACACTTTCCTAAACACACACACACACACACACACACACACACACACACACACACACACACACACACACACACACACACACACACACACATATATATATATATATATATATATATATATATATATATATATATATATATATATATATATATATATATATATATAACAAATGAATAATCTTGTGTGAAGAGACTAGTGAGACTAAATCACTGAACTGAGCACCAAGAGTATTCCTTACCTTTTGATTAGACCAGCATGGACTAATGTTCTAATTGCTTTCCTGGAAATTACTGTTGCTCTCTTCCCTGGCTGGATAAGGAATATGAGCACATTCTCCCACCGATTCATTGCATATTTGTCCAGAAACTGTAAGTCTCGGCGATGAGGATCAGGATCTAATGCAGCTGACATGGTCCATGGTTTCCCTCTGTTGAAGAATTGTGAATGTTAACTGCTTAGTGAACTATTCCTGTTCTTTTTTCTTGTTAGTCATACCATGCAAACATATATTGGAAAAGAACTATAATGTAGAAATTGAAGAAGCGATGCTCACATTTTTTTTCTATTCATTTGTTGATTCTCTCCATTGACCAATCGAAAGGGAAGTTGACAAGTGATTTACAAATGTATAACCAAAACATTTTCTAAATCTATATGCTAATTTCCGATTCTCATTTACAGGTATGTATTTTCGAATCATCAAACACTATTTGTATACAGGATATTGCAGTATTTGTAAATGCAGAAATATAGTAAAAATAGGCCAAAGGACAAACTTACCCTCCTAGAGTAGCTATCTTCAGGTTTTCTCTAAAAGTCCAGCTGAGTTTAATAAATGGATTGCCTTGTTGGTCCTTCAACTCCCGCCAGATGTACATGTCAAACAGGATCTGGGCGCTCTGCTTGTGCTCTGCGGCTATGTTTCCAAGGTCTCTGTGAGAGGAGTAGTACTGATCAACCCTTTTACACATAGAACTTAAACATATTTATTACCATTGCCTGAAATTTTGCAAGGCAGACCCAGGAGACATATGGCAATGTTTATCTTATTTTATGTTATCACTTTTGTTTTGTACTTAAGTCACCCTAAAAACTTGCTTTGATGGTGTAAATGGTATATAACCAGCATCAGGAATATCCATTCTGCATATTCTCATTAAACGCACTTGTCGATGCACCCAAATTCGTATATAATTAATTGTGCTCCATGCTATCCCATGACCTCTTACCGTTAGTAGCAATATTAATTTCTGAAATTCACATTCACACAATAATGGTTATCAGGCAATGTTTGAAATATAACCAAGCAACAGAACTTTGTACTTACTCGTTTGGTTTCAGATGTGGGATCCATAGAGCTAGGATTGCCTGGGATATTGGCTTCGTCACAAACAGGAGGCGCAGAATGAACTGACGTGATAATTCCGGCAGCTCCCTGAAATTCACCTTTATGAATACTTCCAGTAAGAATCATATTCCTTACATAGAAATATTAGCCGGAACACTGAATTCTCCCATTGAAAATGAAGCTTGAAAAGTAATTTGCATGTTCTATCAAAAAATATTATATTCATAAACTGTTATAGCATTCTTTGATACACTTCCAAATGACGCAATACATTTACTGTCTAAGAATCTATACAATAATCTTTTTTTAGGTTTCAAAACCTGGTTTCAGTATTAGTGGATACTTTCATAAAGATTTGAATTTCTCCTGATATAGGGTAACAATCCTAGACAAAGGATATATTATCCAAAAATTATTAAACATGTATCATCCAAGTAACATGGGAATATGTCTAACTGATCTCTGGAGGAATGGTGCCATTTCCTGATAAAATTACCATGGTTATAGGTTTCATTTTATATATTTTTTAATCTCTTTGATAAAGATGTGCAGCTTTGGAATGTAATTATTGAAGCTGATTTTAACAACGTTGCGACAAGTCTTGAATTTTCTGTATGTGTTACAACAGGGACCAAAAATATATTTAGCAACAAATAATCGTCGTCTTTAAGTTAGCATCAGAAAAGGTTTATTCTACATCATTGGTCATTTATTCAATTGAATAAACATTAAATACTGAATTTACATATTTCTGCATACATGGATGCTAACTTTCACCTAATTTTGAATACTGATTTATATTTTATAAATAATATTTTAATGTTTAATGTTTGAAATAAATACATGTATTTAGAGGTCGTCTAGTAATAAGGTAAGGTATTGTGTCGGAATGGGTAAAGAGGAGTTAAAGATTAGGATAAAAGGTGTTAGATGTCAAAGATTAGAGAGCGTTATAGGATAGTATGGAAGTGAAAAGGGAAATGGGGGGAGCAGAGATTAGTAGAAAGGGGGGATTAAGGGTGTAGGGCGATTGAGTGAATACAGTGTATCTGTCAATGGGGAAGATATAGGAACAATGTTCAAGGAAAACAGAGATGGCTGCTGGAAAAGTAGAATAAATTGGGGAAAGGGGGGGTTAGATTTCAAAGATTGGTGTTATAGGAAAGTATGGTAGCGAAAAGGGTAAAAGAGGGAAGTAAATGAAGTAGAGTAGAGATTAGTAAAATGGCAAAGGTTAATCCATTAAGTGTTACATTAGCTAACATGTAGGGTACCCCCAGAGGTTACAAAAAATCTATTTCTTTCTTCTTAGCCCAAACAACCGAAAATCAACCAAGAAACACAAATAAAAACCTTTAAAGGGATCACCGCGCTATTTATAAATCCCTACGTTAAGTTGCCAGACCAGGACTTCCCCGCCCCCACTGTTGTCACATCTCCCTTCACTTCAGATGCGCTTCATACCCGGTCTTCCAGCATATTTAATATGCAACCATTAGTTTATCATCATTGCTTTCCTTGCTCTCAGAGTAACCTTCGCCAAATACATAATCCCTATCTTTATCACTATCATCTTGGGGACTTTCAGAGTCCCACTCATCATCAAAATATTCTCCATCTTAGGGTGAAAGTAATGAATGAGTGCTGGGTACATCTAGGGATCGTCGGCGTCTATCCACCATGACAATAAGGACAGCTCTGGCGGTAGGAGAGTACCCAGAATTCCCGCTTCTTCTAGGGAAACATGCTAGACACTCCCAAGAAACTAATTACTACCCATACAAGGCAAATAATTAGCGGAAACAACATACATTTGCAAAACGCCATGTGACATGAGAAATCTCTGAGCATACCCAGTACCAGGACGTCATGTGATGTGAAAAACACTTAGCGGGTTAAGGGGGCAGAGCAATTGGGTGAATTGCATTGTGTTTGTGATTGGGGAAGGAATTGGGACATTGTTCAAGGAAAACAGACGTGGATGTTGGAGAAGAGGAGAAGAATCTAGGGGATAAGAAAGGGGGACTGGGGAAGGTGGTGAAGTATCAGGAAGTTTGTCTAGAGGGGATGGTCACTGTTGTGATAGAGGGAATTCGTGTGAGTATTCGTGTGGGAGCGGTAGCGAGGGCGGGGAATGTTGGGAGGGTGTAGGAGGAAGGGAACTTGAGTGAATATCTGCTAATACTTTAAATGTAGGAGCAAGAACAGAGGGATGAGGGAGCGGAGTGTTCCCTTGGGTCATCATTATGAAGTTTTGGATGTCTTCAAGGGTTTTGGAGAGGAGTTGGGTGAAGAGGACTGAGAAACCAAGGTTCTTTTGCAAGAAGAGGAGATAGATATCTGAGGAGCAGAGGAAGAGGAAGGTGTAGGAGAGGGTGGAGTGGAACAATTAGGTTGCCTGGTGCGACAAATATAGTAAGGAGGAGGGGTACGTATCAGTGACGTGGTAGAGATTGGAGTATCTGGATTTAGACTGGAAAAAGAATTTGCCTAGGGGATAGGGTGAATAAAGGTTAGAGTATAGGGAAGAGATACTGGGGGAAATGCAGAAACATCTTGTGAAAATGGTGGTGAAGAAGAGTGAAGGACTGTTTTGGAATAAGTTAAGAGAGAAAAATCTCATCATGCTTCTTGTCTAGCCTCACGTAGAATGAGGCCTAGTTTGAATCTGAGGACTGCTACCTTATGGGAGTCCACACAATTGGCACATGTACATGACTCTGCAGGGCAATTTGAACGGTCATGACAGTTGGGCACATAGTGGGCAGTGAGGTGTGGAGCGACAGTGTTTGTCTGGGTGGCCAACACGGCAACATTTCTGACGCTGACGAGCAATGGGTTGATGTGGTTGGACATGGTAGGACAATCCACCAATAAAAGCTTCATGGTGAAGGTCATGTCTACAGAAGCTAATCTTGGCAATATTGACTTAGGACTTATGTTGGTCTCTGAGAGGATTAGTGTGACAATGTAGTGCCACTGCATCCTAATCAGCAAGGTAGGTAAGTAGGTAATTTTCACAGTTTGACCAGTACTTGTAGATAGGACAAGCATTTGGGGGTATAGAAACCGTTCCAGTAAAAGTATTATGAGAGGGGTTAGGTTTGGCCGGAATGGGTTTACCAGTGAGGTCAGTTAGGGTTGATAGTGGGATTCAAATGTAACTGTCACAAGGTGTGAACGATCAAAGCTACTGCGAAAGGTAACCTTACCTACTTGTTTTTGTAGGCATTGTTGCAAGAGAAGGGTATATTTTTAAAGGGAAAGAATCAATCCCACTTGGCTGGGCCAAAGAGAGTACTCAGAAGGTTTGCAGAGCTAGAGGCTGTAGAAGGACGAGGGCGAGAGAAAAATGGGGTGGTGTGGAGTGGAGTAGTTCTGCGGGGAGGAGGACAATAATCATGAAGAGTAGTAATATGGGAAGAGGGTGTAGACATTGAAGAGGACTGTGTCGTAGGAGATGGAGAGGAGAATGTTGGGAGACATGAAAGTGTGCTCTCTGGAGGTTGAGTAATAACCTGGGTGGGTATTTTGGAATGCCCCCATTTAGGGTGAAGAATCTCCATTACTAGCCCTGATGAGCCTGAATAAAATGGGAAAAAGAAAAGGTCATCCCTTCAGGGTCCCAGTATGGGGTAAGGGCTAGGCAATTAACCGAGGAAATACTGTGTCCATGGCTCCCAGAGGCAGTTCGTGACTGACATAAAGCCAGCCTTTCATCCTTGCAGCACGGCTCTCACACCTTAGGAATAGGATAGAAGAAGGGGATGAAGATACGGAAGAGGAAAGGGGAGAAAAAAGGGCAAGCAAAATTAGTTCAGGCGAGGGCTGAGGTGCAAGGTAGGGGTGATCCCCTACACTGGTGACCATTTGAAACTTAAAAATTATCCCCAAGCCGTTGAAGAAAAAAAAATCGATGTGGAGTTGGGAGCAAGTGCATCTATAATGTAAAGAAATACCAAAATCGAGAAAAATACATAAGTACAGGGTAATTTTACAGAATACCTTTGCACAACCAATCATGACGATTGTTAATGATGGATTTCTCTCATTCTCTACTATCCAAATGTATTGAAATTATGCAATGGAAACCGCCCATTAGACAATAATCTTGGTCCCAATAACAGGGTAGGGCATGAAAGGTACCAGGGAAATTACGGGGTAGAATATAATAAGTCACTATTGCGAACCCCCTCCTAGGGGCTACTACCCCCATGGGGGGCAGCAGCCTTCCATGGGGGATTTGCAGGGGGCACAGTCCCCTGCATTAGACAATATTGTGACTGATTCTGTGCTTATTATTCATATTTTACTCTGCAATTTCCCTGGTATCTTTCATGCCCTCCCCTGCTATCGAGGCCAAGAATATGGGGTTTGGGAGGGGGTTCCGTGGCATAATTCCTACATATATGCTTACTAGAGGGTGAGAGGAATCTACCAATACCAAAATCATTGCAATCAGATATGGCAGTTTTACAAAATACTTTCGCAAAGCGCAGTAGTGCCTTTTAAAGAGTGGCAATTATTGATTGATGGAAACGTTCAGTCATTTGTTGTGCAGCAAGTATATTTAGAATTGGCATTTTCCACAGCCATTTTTTTTTTTCTTTTTCTTTTTTGGCGTTGCACTTTTCCAGTATAGACTATTTCATATATCAGTGTACTGTCCCTAGCTTTTCCTCTTCTTAGAACAATCATTGCGTAAATTCATATCAAACTCTATTGCAGTAATAAATATAATTATGAACGCACTGTCTATTGTTACGGCAGCCGTAATCAGCACCAACTGCGCTAGTGCCAAGACAGCGCCTTTTACCATGTGCGTACATGTTTGGGATGACCTGAGTTGGTTAGGTTAGGTTAGATTGGTTAGGTTGGGTTTGATTAGGTTGGTTAGGTTGGGTTTGATTAGGTTGGTTAGGTTAAATTAGTCATTAGATTAGGTTGATTTGGTTAGATTAAATTAGTTATGTTAGATTAGGTTGGTTAGGTTAGATTAAGTTGGTTAGATTAGATTAGGTTGGTTAGGTTAGATTAGGTTGGTTAGGTTAGGTTTGATTAGGTTGATTAGGTTAAATTAGAGTGATTAATTTAGATTGATTTAGGTTAGATTGGTAAGGTTAGAATAGGTTGGTTAGGTTAGATTAGATTAGGTTGGTTAGGTTAGATTAGTTTGGTTAGGTTAGGTTTGATTAGGTTAAATTAGAGTGATTAATTTANCTAACCTAACCTTAACCTTTAAACCCTCATCTTAACTAAACCCAAAACCCAACCTAACCTTAACCTAACCTAACCTAACTAACCTAACCCAACCCAACTAAACCCAACCCAACCTAACCTTAACCTAACCCAACCTAACCTAACCTAAACCTAAACCTACAACCTAACCTAACCCAACCTAAACCTAACAACCCAAACCTAACCTAAACCCAACCTAACCTAACCCAACCTAACCTACCCAACCCAACCAACCCAACCTAACCTAACCTAACCCAACCTAACCCAACCTAAACCTAACCTAACCTTAACCCAACCTAACCTAACCAACCTCAACCCAACCTAACCTACCCAACCTAACCTAACCCAAACCTAAACCTAACCTAACCTAACCTAACCTAACCCAACCTAACCCAACACAAACCTAAACTAAACCTAACCCCAACCTAACCTACCTAACCTAACCTCAACCTAACCTAACCTAACCTAACCAACCTAACCTAACCTAAGCTAACCTAAAGCTAACCTAACCCAACCTAAACCAAACCAAACCTAAACCTAACCTAACCTCAACCTAACCCAATAAACCTACCTAAACCCAACCTAACCTAACCTAACTAACCTAACCCAACCTAACCTAACCTAACATCATCTAACCTAACCTAACCTAACCTAACCTAACCTAAAACCTAACCAACCATAACCAACCTAACTAACCTTAACCCAAACTACCTAACCTGAACCAACCTAACCCAAAATAACCTAACCTAACCCAACCTAACCAACCTAACCTAAACCCAACCAACCTAACCTAACCACCTAACCTACCCCTAACCTAACCTACCCAAACCTAACCTAACCTAACCCAACTAACCTACCTAACCTAACCTAAACCTAACCTCATTCTAAACCTAACCCAACCCAACCTAACCTACCTAACCTAACCTAACCTAACCTAACCCAACCCAACCTAACCCAAACCCAACCTAACCTACCTAACCCAACCTAAACCTAACCTAACCTAACCTAACCCAACCTAACCTAACCAACCTAACCTAACCCAACAATAACCTAACCCAACCTAACCTAACCCAAAACCTAACCTTAAACCCAACCCAACCCAACCTAACGCTAACTAACCCTACCCCAACCTAACCCAAACCCAACCTTAACCCTAACCTAACCCAACCATAAACCTACCCAACCTAACCCAACTAACCTAACCCAACCTAACCTAAACCCAACCTAACCTAACCTAACCTAACCTAACCTAACCCAACCTAAACCCAACACAATAACCTAACCTAAACCCAACCTACCTAACCTAACCTAACCCAACCTAACTAACCTAAACCTACCTAAACCCAACTAACCTAACCTAAGCTAACCTAAAGCTAACCTAACCCAACCTAACCTAACCAAGCCTAACCAAACGCAAATCCTAACCTAACCCCTAACCTAAACACTAACCTTAACCTAACCTAACCCAACCTAAGCTAACCTAACCTAAACCTAACCCAACACCTAAGCCTCATCTAACCTAACCCAACCTCTAACCAGTGACCTTCCAACTCTAACCTAACCCACCTAACCTAAACTAACTAACCTAACCTAACCCACACCTAACCTAACTAACTAAACCTAACCTAAACCAACCTAACCTAACCGTAACCCAAACCTAACCTAACCTAACCTTAACCTAAAACCCAACCTACCTAACCTAACCAACTAACCCAACCTAACCTAAAACACTAAACCTAACCCTCTAACACATACCCACTAAAATACGCGTGCTAACCCAACCTAACCTAACCTAACCTAACCTAACCCAACCTAACCTACACCTAACCTAACCCAACCTAAACCTAACCTAACCTAACCCCAGATTATTGCGGTTGCAAAACACGATATATTATATTCATGTTGCCAACCGCCAATAATACTCCGTCTCTATGTTCTGTTATCCAACCCCCCAGTCACAACGCCTAGACCCGCTCAGTCCGGAACCTCGACACTCGCTAGTCTCACGTGCTTCTCGCAACAAGTAGCATTAAAACTCGCGCAACCCAACGCCTATACATAACCCAACACCTAACCTTAAACTACACCTACGCCCACCTAACCCTAACTACAACCCCAAACTAACCTAAAACCCTAACTAACCTAACCCAACCTAACCTAAACCTAACCTACCAACCTAACCTAAACCTAACCTAAAACTAACCCAACCTAACCTAAACCTAACCAACCAACCTAAACCCAACCTAACCTAACCTAACCTAACCCAACCTAACCTAAAACCTAACCTAACTAACCAACCTAACCTAACCTAACCTAACAACCTAACCTAACCTAACTAACCTAACCTAACCTAAACCAAACCTAACATCTAACTAACCATCTAACTAAAACTAACCAAAACCTAATATCTAACCTAACCTAACCTAACTAACCTAACCCAACCTAACCCAACCTAACCTAAACCTAACCTAACCTAACCTAACCTAACCCTAACCTAACCTAACCTAACCTAACCTCACTACCTACCCAACCTAACCTAACACCTAAACCTAACCTAACCCAACCTAACCTAACCTAACCCAACCCAACCCAACCTAACCCTAACCCAACCCTAAACCTAACCTAACCCCTAACCTAACCTAACCTAACCTAACCTAACCCTAACCTAAAAACCTAACCTAACCTAACAACCTAACCTAACCTAACCCAATACCCCTAACCCACCTTAACCTAACCTAACCCCTAAC